TAGCAGTAACAACTATACCCAATTTCAAACATGTGGGTCAAAGGGTTCCTGAGTTATCGTTGACTGTAGCCAAATGTTGATGGAAGGACGGATGGACGTACGACGGACGACCCATGGCACTAGCTCATCTCGACAATGTCAAGGTGAGCTAATAAATACACGGATGTTTATTATTTTTTAAACTTGTGGCCTCTATCGGAACAGTTTCACGTCGTCGTGAAAGAGCCAATGCGAAGCTTAGCTGCTCACTTGTCTAGCCAGATTACGGCGTTCAGGTCGAGGTGATTGGTCGGTTCATCGAGTAGCAACAGCGTGGGTTCGATAAAGAGAGCGCGCGCGAGCGACACACGCATGCGCCAGCCTCCGGAGAAGTGGTTCGTCGGCCGTTCCTGCATCTCGGGCGTGAACTGCAGACCAGAGAGGATGCGACGTGCGCGCGCCTCGGCGGAATTCGCACCAATCGCGTCAAGTTCCTCGTACACCTGCAATCAGTGACGGAAATTGGCTGGAATTTCATAATCCATATATATAAAATATTAAAAATTTGACACTCAGCATTATAATATAGGCGATGCCTCAGTGCCAGTGGTTTTTTTCTTAACAATGTTATAATGAAATAAAAGTGTCAATGACACTGCAGGGGTGGGCAAACTTTTCAAAGCGAGGGCCGCATCAGTGGGCCATGAAAAGTCAAAGGGCCGCACCTTTTAAAATCGGGCGGTGCGCTCTAAGATAATACGTGCGTTTCGCCTCAAGGGCGCCATCTCTGGATCATAATTAGCTAAAATGGCGTTGCAGAGCGAACCAGAGACAATAGAACACTAATCTGTATGACACTGAAAAAGTCAGCCTCGGTTCAAGCACAAACATGTTGACTTTCACAAAAAAAATTTGATTTTTTATTTTTATTTTTTTATTTTTTTATTTTCTGCAGGCTTCCGCGGGCCGCACAGAACCCCCTAGAGGGCCGCATGCGGCCCGCGGGCCGCAGTTTGCCCACCCCTGACCTAGAGTGATATACGGACCTGTGTGAGGGTTCCGGTCTTGTCGGAGAATATGTACTCGATCTGTCCCAGCTCTTCGTTCAGCGTCGTCGTGCGGGTCTTTGCCGCCGTGTCGTTGCGCTCGTAGTACATGCTGCGGTCCCAGTTGATCCACCAGCTGTGGCCGAAGCGAATGATCTCCACGCTGAAACAACGCGATGAGGGCATGGTTGAATGTGACACTACGGAGGTGACACTATGATGGAATGTGACACCGTGTATGTGACGCTACAGTTGAGTGTAACACCGTGTATGTGACGCTACAGTTGAGTGTAACACTATAGTGTAAGTAGTACACACGCTGCGGTCCCAGTTGACCCACCAGCTGTGGCCGAAACGAATCGTCTCCACGCTGAAACAACGTGACAAGCACACGGTTGAATGCGACTCAATAGAAGTGACACAATTATTGAATGTGACACTGTGTAGGTGACACTATGAGGGTGATGTTACGGTTGAATGTGACACCATGAGGGTGACACTATGGTTGAATGTGACACCATCCAGGTGACATTACAGTTGAATGTTTCACAATAAATGTGATGCTATGGTAAAATGTGACACAATAGATGTGATGCTACAGATAAACATGACACTATGGTCATACCTGACACTACGGTAAAATGTGATGCTACAGATAAATATGACACTATGGTCATACCTGACACTATGGTAAAATGTGATGCTATGATTAAAGGTGACACTACAGTTACATAATTAAATGTGACACCACGGTTAAATGTGACACCACGGTTAAATGTGACACTACGATTAAATGCGACACTACAGTTAAATGTGACACTATGGTAAAACGTGACAGTACGATGAAATGTAAAGCCAGCGCCTAGCACGTGTGGGCTGAGATAGGCAGACACGGGCTGGCACAGTGGTCGCAGTTAAGCCATCAGCTGTGAACGAATCGGATGAAATCAACAGTGGAACGTACGTGACACTAGCGTTTAGCGATGAAAGCAATGGTGTAAACATTACCCGCGAAATACTGTTTCTGCACAGAGTCAAGTTAGCTAATCAGCACGATGCGATAACGTGGTAAACTGTGCTAGTAAAGTGGTTACGTGTAATCACGGTGGACACATTCGGTCAGTGCGACCATTGCTTGAATGTGATACACGCACGCGCGCGCGCACACACGCACGCACGCACGCACGCACGCACGCACACACACACACACACATACACACAAACACGCCCCCCCACACACGACTGCCGGCAGAAATCCGACAGGAAATTGTGCGATGGCAACTCGCGACTCTGCAGGCAAATAACTATCTTATCTTATAATAACTAATATAATAACTTAACGAACACAATTAATGACTACCATCGCCGCGGCGTCACCGCGCCGTACTACGTACGCGCTGATGAGCGACAAACGCTCGACAAGACTTCAAAGCAATTGCAGAATCAAAGCATATTTAATCACCTACACTAACGAAGCGTACGCGTGTGCGGTGAACGTGGGGGCGTGTGTGTGCACAATTAGTAGTCTGTGTGACAGGAAAGAGAATGCCGCGACGGAGCTAGAGAAAAGAGGCGATTGAGATTAATGGGTGCAGGAGGACGGGGCGCAGGGGAGATGCAAGAGTGGGAAAGACGGGCAGGGCAACACACTACAATTATCTAACTATCTATTAACATCTAACAATTATACGTGACACTAACAACTACGTGCATCATACCAAACCCGGCATAGAAACCATTTATAATAATAATATAACAATATTTATGGTAACAACTGGTATATATATATATATATAACACGCACGCACGCACACACATTCTGCTCTCTCTCTCTGCTCTCTCCTGCTCTCCTTGCGCTGCTCGCTCTTCTCTCTCTCTCTTTCTCTCTCAGTCTCTCTCCCTCTTTCTCTCTCTCCTCTTTCTCTTTCTCTGCTTCTCTCTCTCTCTCTCGGTGCTTTCTCTTCTGCTCTCTCGAGCGTCTTGTAGCGCTTTCTGGCGTGTCGTTTCACAGCGAGAGATCGTCTGTTGAAACGGCGGCGGCGAACTAACAACCTGAGCAAGGTTCGAGGAGAGCGATGACCTGGAAGGGAAGTCACCTATTCACAATCGACGATAACGACAAGGTGCTGGGCGTTGACACTTGTCGTAGAGGGCTTGCCTGGCGATGGTTAGTCTCACGAACGATCTGCGGAATGCAATCTCGGAACCGGGTTCCGTCGTCGGTGCGCCTCACGCTCGCTCAGCTTTCGTCTCATCAACGATCAGTTTTGTCTGCAGAACAGGGCCATCTCCTTATCACAAGCGAGTGCGTTAAATAATTCGACAGCGCGTGCTCAGACGTGCCATGCACAACGTCTTATAAATGGTCAGTTTTTGGGTGCTCAAATATCGCCATCGTGGCCACTCCTAAAGCCGCGGCGCACATTGGCCGACATTTTGGGCTCAAAAACATTGATGCGTAGCAAATGTTCCTATGAAAGTTCGGACAATGTGCGGTGAAAAAGTCGCCGGAACATTTGTTCGCGACATATGTTTCTGAAGATTGGAAATGTTGATATGTCGAACATTGTTCGTGACGAAGTTTGTCAATGTGGCGCTGAAATGTCGAGAAGCATTCTAGGAACATTATTGGGAAAATTGCTAAACGGAATTTTGTAAAGTAGTAAGACGCAATCGCAGCACGATATGTGGTACATGATTTGATCACGTGAATGGCTTACAACCACAGCTATAGATGGCGCCAGAGAGGATTGTTGCGCGTGGCCAAAAATGTTCGGCAATGTGCGTTTGCAGGCAATTGTTCACTGGTAACCCGCACAGTGCCAGACAAAACATTTGTGTCGGGAAAATGGTTCAGGCAGTATCATAATTCATAATATTCTAAATATAAAATTAAATAATTGCTACGGCACAAATTTGAACGGCCGCTAGGAGGTACGTGATGATATCTCGTTACTGGGTCTCGCTCACGCTAACTGGTCTTCGCGGGCTCACATCTCTTCCACTGCTTCCCCCGCCGGGGCGCACCAATTAAAAAAAAATTTGTTTGCCCTCAAACCCGAGCCAGTGGCTGAAAAGTTTGGATAGGTAGGTCGGCTTTTTTTTGAGGGCGGGGTCTTTTACTAGAATTCAGGCATGGTGTCTACAGCTGCGGGTGTCTTGTGTGGGGATACCTTTTATGTTAAATGTGTTGTTTTGCTTGTGACATATAATGTAATGTGTCCACAGATTTATATATATGTAGTAGTGATACAATTTGTTGAAGAAAAAAAAAATGAGAAGAGTCGGCCCCTTTTTGGACCGGGTTCGGTCGGGTGAGGGGAAAGCAAACAATATTTTTATTATGGCTTCGTCCTTCCGTCACACAGGTGCTGCTGCGTGGATGCTAAGCTGCGTAACACGCAGACTGGTGCTACGGGCATCGTGCTGTTCGCCGGCCGCGACACGAAGCTGATGCAGAAGCAGGGCAAGACGAAGTTTTAAATAGCGCACGAGCATTCGAGCCGTCTGCAATGAACACGCTCATCATGCAGGGTGAGTGAGTGAGAGAGAGAGAGAGAGGGGGAGGGGCGGAGGGAGGAGAGAGAGATAGAGAGAGAAGAGGGGGGCGCCGCGAGGGAGAGGCGAGAAGAGAGAGAGGTTGGTGGCGAGGGAGAGGGGGCGAGAGAGAAGAGAGAGAGAGAGAGAGAGAGAGAGAAGAGGGAAGAGAGGAGGGGGAGGGAGAGAAAGTGAGAGGGGAGGGCAGGAGAGGGGGAGAGGAAGGAGAGAGAGGGTGGGAGGGGAGGGGGAGGGGGAAGGGAGAGGGAAGAGGGGGAGAGATGAGCGTAAAATGTGGAGAGGGAACGTTGGAAGAGAGAAGGGGAGAGAGAGAGAGAGAAGAGAACGTGGGCGAGAGAGAGACGTGGGGGTGAGAGAGAAAAGCGGAGGAGAGAGAATGTGTGATGCGCGGGTGCAGAGGGAAGAGGTGCAGGACAGAATAGGGAGATAAGGGAGGGAACGGAAGGGAGAGATAGAGCGAGAGAGAGAGAGAGAGAGAGAGAGAGAGGAGCGGGAGGAGAGAGATGGAGAAGAGCGATAGAGAGTAGAGAGAGAGGAGAGAGAGAGAGAGAGAGAGAGAAGAGAGAGGAGAGAAGAGAGAAAGAGAGAGAGCGAGAGAGGCGAAAAGAAGAGAGAGAGAGAGAGAGAGAGAGAGAGAGAGAGAGAGAAGAGAGTAGAGAGGGTGAGAGAGAGAGAGAGAGAAGAGAGGAGAGAGAGAGAGAGAGAGTTAGAGAGAGAGAGGAGAGAGAGAAGTTTTACGTGAGAGTGAGAGGGGGTAGAGAAGCTACCCCTGTTTTTCGCCAGTGCTTCACTCGTCAGCAGCAAATTGACATTTGCGCGTGACTGGCTCGCTCGCTTCCCGCCGTTTCGATTTCTCCTAGGCGTTCTTTTCTCTTATATTTAGCCCTTTCACCCTAATAATTTGATTTCGCTCTAGTTCTCTCAGTGTCACCCTCTTCCTCCCCAAACCGCCCCGATTTCTCTTACCCTTACCCGATTTTACCCTTCTCGCGCCTGTCTCTCTGACTACCCGGTCCCGCATCCCCCTTCTCCTCCTTCTCTCTTTTCATCCGCCAACCCGCCTCCTCCTCCGTTTACTTTTCTCCTGTTTCATCTTTTCTCGTTCCCCGAGTGCAAACATCCATCCAACCCAACTACTCGCATTCGATCCATAAAGCATTACCGGGACCAGAGCTGAAACTCGAAACAGATTCCCGTGCGAACTGAACGCAGCGTAGCTTATAAAAAAAAAGAGGGCACTGCGGGCCACCTTTCTCCTACTCCCCCTTCCCCACCAGTCTAATCACTCCGAAATTAAATTCGGAGAACGCCGAAAAAAAATTCCGAATTATAATGCATTCGAATATAATTCGGAAAGCATCCGAAAATAATTCGTCGGAAGAACGCCGCACGCGTGCGCGCGCAGTGGCGGGACGTTCGCGAACCGCGTAAACGTTCCTCTAATCTTCCTCCTGAATCTTCTTCTTCTTCTTCTCTGGTCAGATCTTCCTCTTCCTCGTCGGCATGTGTTCGGTGTGCACGGTCGGTTGTGCGATCTGGGAATCGCAGCGTGGCCAGTACTTCCGGCTGTACCTGCCGTGGGACGCCATCGTGCCGGATGCTAACACAAGTGGCGCCATCACCGTCAT